GTATTATTAGTATAGTATAATGTGTGGGTGCATGAAAGGCACTGCCCACTCTGTATATCTTATATACAGCATGATTTGTGGTTTTATGTTTTTATAAACGGAACTTCATCCTACAAGCAGAAACTCTTCACTTTAGTTTTGTGTTTGTGGTTTTACATTTGTAAAACAGGTGTTTAGGCTATCCCAGTGCAGTTGTACTGTATGAAAATACAGCACAAGAAACTGTGTTTAAATGTATTGTATATGTGTATTAGTATTCATAACACTGAGTGCGTGGGTATGGTTTATAATAATTAATTTTATTTCATTATTTTAGAATTGTTCAAAGTTATCTAATCCTGGAGGATCAGTACAATGGCCTAAGAAAAGACGTTCTCATTCCAGTGTATTGATTAACACTGGCTCAGGACCACACCTACTAGTGGTGGGTGGATATAATCGTACTTCTGATATTTGGATATTTGATATTAACAATAAATCATGGGAGAAACTGGTAAGTTTATTTTTATATTGTTGGTGTTGTTTAAACATTTTGGGTAGAGTTTATGAATAAATTAATAATGCACGTATGTGTTTAGCATGTGACATTGGATACATTTATTATAATCATCCTTGTAGTTTAATCTATCAGACATTGTCATTGAGAGATATTCTCATTCTCTCTCAGTTTGGAGTGTGACTCCAACCACTAACTGGATAATTGTGTTTGGAGGGAGCACGTCATACACTGATCCAGCAGTTATTGAACTGAGTGAGTACATGTAAATACAAATGTATTGAATATACCTTAAGCCTACTATTTTTAGCGTCTACTAAATTTAGCTATATTAGCGAGAGAGCTTTAAATCGCTAAATTAAATAGACGCCAAAATAATTATTATTCATTATAATGGTTATTATTTATGGTTAATTTGGTTAAAAACGCTAAACATGACTTTTGCTGATTTCGCTAAAATTAGTAGACGCAAATAATAGTAGGCTTAAAGGGCAACCGACACGAAAAATTGGGTTGTGATTAAAAATCAAAAATATTTTCATTGTGGTGTAGAATGACTTGCAAAAATACTTTTGGTGCAAAATAATTGCTCTTTCCTAGAGAAAAACTGGTTTAAAAATGCATAATTTACTTCCTCATTTCTGCATCCTGTATTTAGCAAATGTGGGTGTGGTCACGTGTGACATCACAAGAGGGAAGATGGTTGTTTGCTCCATTGGTTTATACACAACTTCATGTTAAAATTCTAGAGTTTTGACAATTTTAATGCAGAAATGCAAGCTGCAGTGTTATAAAAGATGCAAAGGAGAATGAATTCAGCTAATTTATTTTCAAAATAGAAAAAAACCATGATATTTTGAACTTGCTTATAATTACTACTTTTGCCCTTAAATCATATCTTATTTACCTGCTAAACAATAGGGAGTACATTTTCTGCAT